GTGTATGAGATCTTGGCGTGCCCGTGCACCTGCCCCAGCTTGAAGAAACATTGGGCAATTTGGGTCGGGAACTATGCGGCATATTTATCAGCATCTCCTGCACCAGAAAGAGGGATGTGGACGCACCGTCATTTCTGTATACTCCGCATACTGGTACGCCGCGACGCGGATCGCCGTCTGTATCGAGCGCTGGATGTCGCCCTCGTCGGCGTACATCTCCATCAGCTTACTCCACGGCTTGACGCTGTACCGCGGCGTGTCGAGACAGCGCTGGTACGCCTCCTTGGCCTCCTCCTTGTGGTGCAGCCGCATCCCCAAGTCGCCGAGGATTTCCCACTCCAGCCCCGTCTTGCGGTACGCGACGTGTTGCGTTTTGAAGTGCGCGACTTCGGCGCGGAAGATTGTCCACACGCGCAGATCCTACTTTCGTCAGTTTCTGTTCGCGGACTAAGAAGATCGGGGAGAAGTAATCACCTCGTACAGGACCATGAACAGATTATCCAGCCACCGCTCGCACAGCCGCTTGTTGCTGAACGAAAACGGCTCCTGGGGCAGAGGTGGCGCCGGCTCCTTCCCCTTCTTGTCCTTATCCGCCCCCGCAGTATCCTCCTCATCGCCCGCCGCAGCCTGCACCGGCCTCTCCAATGTGTTCACCGCCGTCTTCACACTCATCTCATCCCGATCCGACTCAGCTCGAAACCCGAATCGTCGGGATCCCATTCTCCCCCGTCGCCGCGTTCCCGTTCCCATTCCCATTCACCTCGCTCCCCGTCCCAATAGCGCTAACAGGACTCGTCGTAGCAGGACACCGCGCTCCCTCCGGGACTCACCATCCCCCTCGTCGACGCATTGTCCGCCTCGTCAGTCCGTCTCGCCCTCCTGCCAGCGTCGTACCCTCGGCGGACTCGGACTCCCTGCGCGCGTGCCCGCCAGGCGAGCCGGCGGTGGCAAAGTCGCCCTGCGCCTTCTGCATACGGTACTCCTCCTCCATGACGAAGACGGCACTCCGCGTTTTGAGGAGTTCGTCCCACCCGATTTGTGCGACAAGCCGCGTGAGGAGGGCGTAGGCGCGCGCCCAGGTGCCGCGCAGCCCGGGCGCGGGGAGCCGTTGGAGGGCGGGGTCGGCCTGAGAGGTGGTATTATTAGTTGAGGCCGAGGAAGGGAGAAGAGAAGAGGATACCTCATCATCCTCCGACTTTACACGATCCGGCAAGATCTCACCGATGGAGCGGTGAAAGGGTAGATGTACTCGCGAGGGCGTGAGTTGTCGGTGCGCGTCTCGGCCATTGAACGTGAACATCGGGCACGAGTTGAGGGTGAGTAGTGCCTTGAGCTAAATTTTAGGGCCTGCGAAGCAAAGCAGCAGAGGAAAGACCCACCGACTCGAACATCCCCAGCTCAACGTACACCTCCGTGAGCTTCTCCCACGTCACGAACTCGCTCGGCGCTGCGTTAACCGCCTGTCGCGCGAGCTTGAGCGCCCAGTCCGAGCGGCCCTTCTCTCGTAGAAAGTCGCATTGCGCGTGCAGGAGCGTGTACGACGCGGGGCCCGGAGCGGTGCGCAGCGCATTAGACATGATTTGCAGCGCCTTCACTTCCTCGTCTGTGCGTCACTAAGTCAGCATTGGTTCACAAAGGAAAGAGGACGCGGCGCACGCATGCCGAGGTACGCCCGCGCGAGCAGAGAGTTGACCTCCGGCTCGCGCACGGAGAGCTTCTCGAAGAGGTTGGCTGCCTGCTGGTAGCGTCCCGAGGTGCCGAAGTATTTTAGTAGCCCAGCGGTGAGATGGTTGGTCGTCACCGACGCCACCTGAATTTCGGGGTCGGAACCGACTTGCCAACCTGCATTATGCAGTTGAGCGAGGATAAGGCGGCTGTGGAGCACCCAGTAGAAATACCTTTGAGGAAGAGGGCCTCTGAGGCGGCCAGGAATCGCAGCTCGCCCTCGGGGGATGTGATGGGGTCGAGTTTGCGGTATGCGTCGAGGGAGTGCGTGGGGTCGTCAGAGTAGAGAATCGCACGCAGGAGGGCGGAGACGTATGTCTCTTGCCACATATCCGGCGTGGCTTCGTGTCTGGATGGGATTTTAGACACAGGAAAATGATAAGGGCGTAACGCTACGCACCGCTCGCCACGAAGATCCACCACATATGCATTCACGCCTCCGGGTATTTTGACGTCGACGCGAAAGTCGACGCGCGAGAAGGCATTGAAGCAGCAGTAGCACCCATTGCGCACTTTCCAGACGGGGGTGTTGGAGAACCACGCGTTCGATCCTTCGATCGCGTAGGTGAGGGAGTTGATGTACGCGGCAAGGGACGCAGAGGATGAGGCGTCGACGCCAGAGACAAAGTGATATGAGCCGAGGTCGCGCTGGCCCGTCTTTCCGGTGCTTTTCACGACATGGCAGAGGTCTGGTGGCCCGAGTTCCCTGAATGTCGCTGCGGCGCGTCAGCCTGAAGCTCTTTTGGAGGACGGATATTCATTCTCACAAAGGCTCTCTGTGCGAGCGGTAAGTGACTCTCCGAGGTCGACCTCAAAAAGTTCGGGGATGTCCTTGAATGTCGCAGTTGCTTCTGCCATGGACGAGGCCTTGAATGAAGCAGTTTAGAGTCAAGTTGGATGCCCAGAGAAACGCGTAAGAGACCTAGATGAACTGCGCCACAAAAATAAGAGATAAGTTGGTCGGGCCGCCAATCCACTTACTTGGGAGATATTTATTGGTTGCTGAAGTCACGTAAGGCCTAAGGGTGAGATAGAGAGTCAGTGAGCATTATCCGTTACCCAGAATGAACGCCAGAAAGTGAAATGAAGCAGACACGTTTCGAAAATCAACTGCGCGTCACAAATTGTTTCGTGGCAATCGAGACAAGGCCGTGGGCCGGACTGGCTATTTTATGCATCCCCAAGCGCACATGATACGACGCGTCGAAAGGAAAGGAATACACGAAGCATAGAACAGCGAGTCAAGGATGCGGGATGGGCGTACCTTGAGCACCCTCTACCAAGCCAGTTCCAGTCCACAATGGTTCGTGTGCTTCACAGTCGTCTTGTTCAAGGTAAACTGACGAAGTATAGGCCTGTCTTGGACCAGCAAACGGACAATGAGGGAAGCTGAAGAATGTGGAGGAAGCAGCCGTAAACAAGGCGGACTGATGGCACTGCCTATTTTGGAACACGTTATTTCAGGGAAAAGGTTCATTAATTCGAGGTAAAATTCGTCTGCGGGATTAATCGTTGTACAAAGTCCATCTACAGTCACAACAAACGGCAGTTTACGCACTGGCCGCACCGCGAACAGTACCCGATGATATTAGCAAGCCGTAAACCAATATTTGGGGTCGAGTATCTGGGATTACCGGTGGATATAGTCTATATAATACACGGGGTAGGAATCGCTCTACGTCGGAGACACCCTCCAGAATTCGCTGGGCGTGAATCCTGTTTTGAGCGCCGCCACATTATTTCGCGCATTGACGCGCCCCGGATTCGCGGCGTCGTCGTTCTCCTCGTACCCAAACTTGAGTTTGCGCGCGAGCTCCTGCACGTCGGGGTCCTCACGCACCCACTCGCCCTCCTGCGCCTCTTCGGTCCACCACGTGGCGGCGCGCTCGCGCAGGTGCGGGACGCGCATGACGGCACCGCGGACGAAGCGGAGGAGTTGGACGCGCTTGAGCGTTTGCTCGGCGGCGCGCATCGCGGCGATGGTGGGGGTGCCGAACGCGGCGGCTGCAGAGCCGGGAAGCATGTGGACGACTAGCGGAAGTATGAGGAATAACAGGCGCCGGGCGGTGAAGAGCCTGTCGTGCCACTGCCATGAAGCAATTAGTTTACAGGCTATAACATTGGGAGTGTAGCGTACCATAAAGACGGAAGTGTCGTCTTTGGGAAGTTCGATGGGGACGGTTATGATATAGTATGCCTCGAGAACGAATGCGCCTGCTACGGCGGAGACCGCGAGGGTGCGATAGCGCTCGCGTCCAGATGTGTTTATGGTGACTATCTGGGAGACAAGATTAACATAACGTAGCGCAAGAAAAGGATGAGCGTACTCCAATAACCGCAGCAGCGCACAGGTACGAGATCAAGGCTCCTGGAAGCGCGAACAAGGCAAATTCATCAAAGGACAAGCAGTAATCGCACGACGAGACTACGGAGTGGCCAAATCTAGTTGAGGTGAGAGGATGGTTGAAAACCAGGGCAGTGAGCGCACCGAACGTAGTATGTTTTGACGTCAAACGAGCCAAGATGCCTCAGGAGTGTTTCTAGTGGTTTGGGGATTTCGCCTGTGTCTGACCGCTGAATCAATATGCTCCGTAGCGAATCGACCGGCGTGATGACTGGGATATTTAGACGCGTAAAGAGGTTGTCGGGGGGCAAGACGATGAGCTGGTAGAGAAAATACAGCGTGTGCAGGAGGAGAAATATGTTTAGCAAAGACCGAGTGGAGGTCAAGGGTTGTCCTGCGGCCTTGTGGACACCCAAGTAGAACCATGGCACGAGTAACGAGGCGATGGTGGCGAAAACCAGAAGTGAGACGCCTGCGGCCATCGCGTCAAGAGCAAGGGACACGTCGGCTATCGCGGCATGGAAGGATCACGTGCAAAGTCTCCGGGGGCGGAGTTTAAAAATGATCGGAGTTTCAAACATTTGATCTCAAACTGGCCAAGAACCGGCGACATTTTGTGCTGCAATTATGCTGCTGGGGACGAGGGTCATAAGCAATCTGCCAGACCTACCACTAAGCGAGATGTTCATGACTAGGCCCATCGAAAGTCGGAGGGTAAAAACGGAGCGGGAATCGAAAAAAAAACATGGTCTCGGCCGAGCGGAGATCAAAAACTGACCTTCTGTGCGCAGTGAAAACTATAAGACAGACGCCATAACCACTAGGCACATCGAAAGTCTACCCTTCCTTATGTGCGACAGCGATTCCAAGCCTGTAAACGCGATTCCGCGGCTCAAAAAAATTTAATTTCAGCCGAGCGGAGATCAAAAGCTGACCTCTGCCGGGATCGAACCGGCGACCTTCTGTGCACACTGAAAACTGTAAGACAGACGCCATAACCACTAGGCACATCGAAAGTGCGATTTGGAAGTAAACCGGTTCAAAAATTTAATTTCGGCCGAGCGGAGATCAAAAGCTGACCTCTGCCGGGATCGAACCGGCGACCTTCTGTGCACACCGAAAACTGTAAGACAGACGCCATAACCACTAGGCCAAGAAGTCCATCTTTTGGATGGACGAAACGGGTAGGAAGCGAACAAAGAACCGAAATTTCCCAATCGGGACTTTGGCGGTTAGTCGCCCGATTGGGAATTAAGGGCTGAGATCGAATGGCGGAGCTTCATTCCGCCGATATAGAAGCTGTGAAGAGGCGTCACCAGACAGTCGCGGCTAAGGCAAGGGGTGGGAGATCAGCGCAAAAAATAATGTAAATCATGGGTTCACCCCGCGCCCGCTAGCACGTTGGGAATAAAAACAAAAATCGGCGGGATTGGTATGTATTGTTGAGTTGAATTGCGGAGTGAACCCTACTGGTATTCTACCCTGACTCCGCCCTTGGTTTGCCGGGGTGAAATTAAGTCAAGCCCCTATTTTGAGCGATGGCCACCGTCGTCGAAACGCCAGTACTTGGTACTCGCAGAAACTTGAAGCCGAAGCTAATTCTGGGCGTAAACGACAGAAACAATTAAAATCGTTGCATTTTCACACTACTACAGCTATAACTGGACTACGTTGCCACTAAGCTTCGATGAACCTCAACAATGGAAAGTAATCAAAGAGCAATAGACTTACTCTCGGCATCAGTAGTGGGTGTCGTCTTGAGGCTGGATTTGTTCTGGGCACCTCGCGCTTACGTATTTCATCGTTTGGAGAGCGGGAGAGTTCGAGGGCTTGAGAGACTGGCTTGAAGTGCTTGAAAAACATTGCGAGGCGACGGCGTTCAAAGGTCTCACCCACGCCCAGCCCAGGGAGATCTTGAAATGCTTGAAGCAATTGATGACCACCGGGAATGAGGGAGACGAGGGCGCGGAATGAAGGAAATGGGCTGGACGAGGGAGATGATGGGACTCGACGCGCACGCCCGCGCATAGCATGTGCTTGCGGATGCGAGTTGCGCACTCGACTCGACGGTGTGTGTGTGCGCGCGGCGTCCGTACGGCGCGGAAAGACACGGGATGAAGGGGACTCGATCCGTACACACACGACCTGCATGCTTGGCAGCGGTGTACACGCGTGGTCTCGACGCTGCCCGCGCCGACGCACCGTTGCCAGTCAGGACCTTCTCCGAATCCGCGCGCGCGGCGCAGGCTTCGCGGATAGCCGGGGCGACCTGTGGAAAAGACGTGCGGCCTCGAAAATCCATCCCACGGGCCAGCCATCCCGACGGCCCAAAACTAGCCCCAAAAGGACAAGGCACACTCACATTCTCCAGGCCCTCCTCCCTCAGCAGCGGCTCCCTCGCCCTCCCCGTCGTCTTTCCCCCCTGACTCGTCGCCCGCCTCTGGCGCTCTTGTGGTTCTTGCTATTGTCGTTCTTGGTGTCGTCGGAGTAGGTGTGGGTGGCGGGGAAGAAGGATGAGAGAAATAAGCCCACGCGGACATTTTGAGTGAAGAGATGGTCGAGCGCCAGGTGAAGGTGTGAACCGAGGTCGGCGGGTGCGGACGAACGGGCGGTGGAGGTCGATGAGCGGTACGGAGACGATGGTGAGCACGTCGTCGAGCCAAATCGCGGGAGAGGCGAGGGGACTATAAGCTTGTTGGTAGGTCAGTATAGACATCGACAGCACGGAAAACCACGGACGTACCTGCTGTGAGTCCGAGAAGAAGGGTACGAAGGCTAACCACGGTACAGAGCGAGGATAACGTGCAAAATCAAACTCAGCAGCCTGAGTTTGAACACCGGCTCCACCTTTGGATTTGTTTGGTCTCTTTCTTGATTCTCACCGATTAGGAAGGACGCGATTTCTAGGAATCGAGCTTCAAGCAATGAGTGCCGCCGGCGTTTTCCTGACGGAAAGTTAGGTTGAGGCCCTCCAGAAGTTCATAAACACTGCGGGGAGCGAAAACGGAGTCAGAAATCGTCGGTATAGGGAAGGACCTTTTAGGGGGCAGACAACCACAGTGAGGGCCACGCCGTAAAAACTTCACTGACCTTGATCCCTAGGCCCCTCTACTGCTCATTGCTTGTGGTAATGGGAGGCAAATCCAGAACATCAGCTCGGCGGACGCACCCACTTTTTATCTTTCATTTTCCCTTCATCCAACCACAGTCTGACCAGAGTTCAAGGGAACAGGATAGCTCGCCTTCAACAAGGCGCCCTCGCTTTCCGTATTCTCGGACGTTGCTAGGATTTGCAGCCGCCCCCCCTCTGTTCTTGCGCGACTATCGACGTCGTTCTGGATCTACTCGATTCCTCGTGCAAGAATTCTGTGGGCGGTTACAAATTCCACGGCAGCTTACCATTATCGTCTTGAACGGCGCCGTTTGACTTGCGTGTCTACGAGACTCACCAGACATCGATTTCGTTTGGGCGCCGGTGTCTTCTTTTTGAACCTGTGAGTACACGGCGGTTATTCAAGTGCGAGAGATTAACGCCTTCCCGCAGAATCGCATACCGCTGTATTTGTTACGCAAATATTACCTTTTTTGAGTTCAACGTCGAGGAACCGAAAGGAAAGCTTCTCGGTGACCATCACCGAGTCACAGCTTCTACCTGCAACGTCGTCGTCGTCAACTCCAACGATTTCAAGGCCGATTGGACGTAGAAAACTCGTGTCAACTTGCACTGCCTGTGTTGCAGGACTTTGGTTTGCTGGATGGCTCTGTGCTGGGGTTTCACTGCGGTTCTCTTTATTAATGAGTCGGCTCTAATTTTTCAGTGGCGCGTTCGAGCCAGCTTGCAGGTGCTACCTCGACGCCTGGATGTTCTTGGGTGAATGTGGTCGTTCAAAGGCATTCGGACAGGCTGGATTCGGTGATGCGGTCCGGTGGATTAAATATTTGATCAATAATTATGAATATGTGCTGGGACGGACACTCTGCGTGATTGACGCGTTGGACGCGTCTGCGTACCCTCCGCTTTCTTTCCCTTCCTCTTCAGCCTCGTCTGCTACCTTCACTTGCATCTATAGCTCTGAAGATGGATTTCATGAGCAAGGTACGTTCCTCTCTCTCTGCAGTCCTCCAGGGAGCTCATTCTTCTGTCAAGTTGAGGGCTGCCTCTGTGCAGCTGTCCCAGGCCCAGGGGCATACGTCGACATGAACACCAGCCGCATCCTCTTCCTCAGTCGCGTTGCCTGTTTGAGGAACGAAATCAGTCAGAGGTGAGTCAAAAGCGGAACTTTCCCAATTAGGACTTTGGCGGTTAGTCGCCCAATTCGGTTGATGGTCAGGGGTCCGGATCGAATCCAAATGCACAGCCACAGTGACGATCTTCAACTTCCGCATGCACAAGGGGGAGTCTTCAAAGAAATCCAAAAATATTTGAGTAGTTTATTACCCTCTTATACATTTATAGTCTCCGAGATCTAGGATTGCAGACAGACTATGCACTTGCAAACGAATTTCTGCCACGAGACGAGTTGGTGTGACATGTGACATGTGAGTGCGCAGCCAAGTTTTTCAGCGGGGTACAATTCACCCTTGCTTTCTGACTGTGATGCCGGGGTAAAATTTGGCCCTGGTGCTCTTATAACCCTTGGCTCTCGTCTTCAAGTTGTCGCCTAGACCAGCACTCTTCCGCAAGTTCATACTACCGCCTTTGTGCACACCACATAATCCTCGCTTTATTCATTATGGCTATTCTTGCATCGTTACACTTGATTCACGCTTACTTTATCGCCAATCCACCGGTTGAAGACCGAAGGGATGTCCAGTTCGCCAATCCACGGGTCAAATACCAGATACATTTGGACGCGACACAATTGCGCAGCAGTAGCTGCGTTCGCCACGCGAGTGCGCATTCGCGCCGCACGGAACGACCGCAGCTCAGCCTACTGCTGTGCGAGTGTCGGCGTTGGGCGGAACGGGGTGATTGCGCTGGGCATGAGGAAAGCAACAAAAGGTTTGAGGAAAGCAACAAAGGGCTTGCGTGCAGTGATGCGCAGGAGTGGAGTTTACGACTTGTTCCCGGTGTGAGAACGACAAGGGTTCGCACTTGTTCCCGGTGTGAGAACGACAAGGGTTCGCGCGGCTCGGGTGTTGTGCGAAATCGCCGATAGGATTAAACTGCTTGATGGTTGAGCTTCAAGGATGGAAATCAAATAGGTCAGCTCAGATACAGCACACACCTCCGACTGATTTGAGATGCGCGTGCAGAATTCGCTATAGAAATAGAGCGTAAGCATCCATGTATTCAATTAGGCGGGAATACTCAATTAGGCGGGAATACTCAAGGTGACGCAATTGAGTGCGGGCCACTTATAAGCAGACGGTTGAAGGGGGATTGACTGCAACGCTCACCAACTGTGAAGAAATGGAAGTGAGTAACGAAATAGACCGTATTCTATTCTTTGGCACATAACTGAGTTGCTGGGTAAACGGAATGAGACCGGTGTCGTGTTGGGTGTGAGGACGGGGAGAGCCAGGACTTGCGGCTCGTTGTGCGCGTCGACTTGGAGGTGGTGATTGAAGACAAAGGCGGACTTGCAGCTCGTTGTGCGCGTCGACTCGGAGGTGGTGATCAAAGAGGTGAGTAAAGCTGTGCAATTTCCCCTTTGGGACATCACGCTCTCTCTCTACGCGCCGACGCGTTTGTTGACTCTCTGCTCTGGGAATGTAACACGTTCCATGGTCACAAAAAGTGCAATACGCCTTGCACTTTTAAGCGCTCTGAATGCATTCCCTCCCCGCCGCCGCTATACCCCGAACAAGGCTCATTTTTCAAACCACCATCGCCGGGCGCCCAGCCTGTCTCTCGGTCCCTCTGGCATAGCTCTCCATTATCCACCTGTGCGCGGGCGCACCAACATGCCCTGCGTGCCCGGGGGGTAATTGGATCTTGCCTGTGTTGCCACTCAACTGCCACTTTGTCGACCCACTCATGCCGGCTCAGCGCTCATCGATGCGCTCATCACTCAAAA